CCCCTGATTTATGCCTGTCGGGCTTGCGCCGGGTCCGAGCTAATCTTCTCTGTATCGTTCCAATTTTTTAACGGATGTCCCGAAGGACCTAGCCGTGGTAGTACCCCACCCGCGGCTCTTCAAAATTTAAACAGCCAACCGCGGTGCCGCGCCCCAAACCAAAACGGCCCCGCGAATAATAGTGAGAACAAAAAAAAACAAAAAAAAAAATAAGATAAAATAACATAAGTAAAAACCCCAAAGCAGGGTGCGGGGACTGCCACCGCGCCTATTAACAAAACCGAGGGGGGATAGTCCCGTCGGACCCTCAACCCCCTCAGTTTTCTTCATGGCGCTCTGCTGCTACTGCGCCGTCGCCCGCCCGCCTCGATCCCAGAACCCCCGTAATAACAATCTAATGTTGTAACCCATAGGGCTAAGCCCAAGCCTGAGACCAGCGGGCGCGACCTCCTATATAAAGTAGTGTCGCGCCATGTTCAGGGCCACGGAAACGCCCTGGTAATTTTTTCAGCCCCGCATTTGCACCTACGGCCACTAAGCGTCCTCACCGGCCTGTCAACCCTGCTTTGTGGCCATTCAGCGTACTTACCTACGTGCCCGTCCTAACACTGATCAAACGTGTCGGTCAGTGGACTTTTGAAAACCTTCAAACCTTAGTTTAGTCAACAGGAAGATAATCCGACCAACCTGGCCGACTTTCATAACCAAAAGGAGAAATCAAACGCGTGCCTTCAAACTGCGCGCTCCTACTTGTGCTACACAACCCTACCCACACCCGGATGGCTGCCGCGCCTCGCGCGGTCACCCGGAAAGTCCTACCTTTCCCAGTCTTTCTTATCACTTGAAAAAACTGGGGCGGACATTTTACCGGACCATATTAAGCGACGTCCCCGTTGCTTTGCTGAATCAGAAAGCTATAGATTTATTCGCATTCCAAATGCTGACGGGAAGGGAACCAATCCAGTTGGTCGACAGACTCAGGTTCGAGGCCTCCAACAACCTACGCCCACACAACTGTATGCCGCCAGGGTTTCAACCTGGGGTTCCATTGTCCTGACACTAGGACGTCGGGGTATTACGCATCAATACTACGGCATAAGTTCCAAGGCCCTCACAACCCGTCCTCTCCCCTTTGTCCTAGACAAACGCCGGCTTCCCGTTGGGTGTCCCGACCAGACCCTTCTTCATAAGCAAAGTCATCCCTAGGGACGCGGGCCTTGGATGGGGTCTTAGAAGACGCTCTTCCCTTCCTCACGAAAATCAT